TGCCGGAAAATTCCCTAGCCACACAGATAGTGCAAAGGTCATCGGGCTAGAGAGTGCATTCACTCCCAGCCTTCTGGGTAAAAAACAGGTATCTCTTCCTGGAAGGAACAACCCTACATGCTTAACATTCCAGGTTCCTCAAGCTTGTGTGTGAGCACAAACATCTCCATATTTCTTCTACATTCCGTCTCTATGGAGACATTAAGGGAGATGAGAAAGAGTCATTGAACAAAACAAAACTATGAAGAGAAAAATATCCCTAGAAGATATTTGTATTTTCTTGTTATGTGTATATTTGTGTGTATTTGTATTGGGGCACATATATAAGTATGGGTGCAAATGCATGTATGTGGAGGTCAGAGGTCAATATTCTTCCCCCCTTTTTTTTGTTTCTTGAGACAGGGTTTCTCTGTATTGTTGCTTGTCTCCATCTTCCCAGTAGTGGGGTTACACACATGCACTGCAGCTCTGACTTTGGTGTGGATGCTAGGATGAGCCCTCAGGCACCTAAGGCATCTCAGGGGGGTTTCTTAGGCCCTAGATCTGATGTGTCCTTAAAGATGGAAGCTTGGGGAAAAGAGGCAGGAAATGCAAGTGTTTTGTTTTAAAAATATTACCTGAGCTCATTACCTCTTTAAGCACTGAATTTGTTACACACTACACTCGTGGTTCACACACACACACACACACACACACACACACTCTGAAATTAAGCAAACGAAGTCATTGAATCTAATGTGTCTAGTGGTGTGGGGTAAATGCCTTGTTCTGGCTCTTTCTCTAGAGACTCCTCAAGTGGCCCTCACCTCACCCAGCAGGGTCCTTTTCTCTCTAGGCAGGAACCATGTGGGAGCATGCCTATGGTGCTTGTATCTCAGTAGGGGCCATTATAATTATAGCTGTTTCTTCTTCTTTTATTTGTTTATTTATTTTACTATTATTTTCTTATTTTTAGTTTTTTTTTTTTTTTTGAGACAGGGTTTCTCTGTGTAGCTCTGAAGCCGGTCCTGGAACTAGTGCTTGTAGACCAGATTGGTCTCAAACTCACAGAGATCTGCCTGCCTCTGCCTCCCGAGTGCTGGAATTAAAGGCGTGTGCCACAAATGCCTGACTTATCTTTCCATTTTTAATGAAATATTTTTATTTTTAGGTGTATGAGCTTTGCCTCCATGTATACATGTGTACCATGTGTACTTGGAGCCCCTGGAACTGGAGTTACAGAAAGCTATTAGCAGCCAGCTGTGTGGGTGCTGTGAGCCCAACTCTTTAAGAGCAGCCAGTGTTGTTCACTGCTGGGACCATTGCTTCAGTGTTTGTTTGTTTGTTTGCTTGTTTTGAAACAAGGAGCTTGCAGAGCAGGCTGGCCAGAGAGCCACAGGGTCCACTGTCTCTTCTCATTTTTTGCGACTATGAGTATGAGCCACCAAACCCAGCTTCTTATCTGCGTTCTGGAGATGGAATTCAGGTCCTCAGCCCAAGCACTACACCCACTGCACCATGTTCCTGATATTTATGACTTTTTAAATATCAAGACTCTCTTCTCTGACATACTCTTGGAAACCAACAAGACAAAGACAAATAAGCAAAGATTATGGGAGGAGCCCAGAGGCCAAAAAGCATAGGGAGGCTGTTTCTACTTAGGCACACACACCAACATGACAGCATGGCACCCTCACATCAATGGCATTGCAAGTCACTCGTGCAGGATCACGCCACAGCAGGGGGATGGCAGAGAGGAGCTTCCCGATGCCTGTTGGAGGCAGTGTGCCCCATGCCTGTGTCCTGGGGGCACCTCAGTGGAATCTGGTTGGACTGAGCATGCATATGCTCTCCGCTCAGCTCTGCGGCATTGGGGTACATACCAATGTGCATAGTCCTGTGAGGCAGCCCGCATGGTCTGCCCCCATGAAAGTGAGCGGAACCTGAGGCTGTGAGTGATTTAGCCTTCTGCCACTGTGAGAGCCTTCAAGCAGATGCACACGTAACACCACTTTGCAAACGGGTGGCAGTGGGAGGAGGCAGACCTGGAAAGCCCTCAGCTGCATGTTTCTGTCTGAAGACATCGTGTTGAGTGAGATGCTGAGAAGATCAGGCCATCAAGTTGCTTGAGAAGTAGGTACGCAGAATCCAGGTGCTGAGGGCTGTGCTTCTGAAGTGACCGTGCCGGCAGAACATCACCCACCTCGCAGGCATGGGGATTAAGTGGGAGACAGGACGACAAGGAAGGAGAAAACAGACAGAGGTCACCAGAAGAGCCTGCCATGCTCAGGGAAGAGACTGAGAGGTGCTCCTGCCGCCTACAGGAGCACTTCGGGGCATTCTACACCCCAGCTACACTGTGCACAGTTTAAATTTACATTAAATTTACATGTGCAAAGCATGTGCATTCATGTAACTAACACCGTGATCAACAACCAGTATTTTCACAGCCGCAAACATTCCATTATGTCCCTGCCTAGGGAAGTACCTCCTTACCTTCAGACTCATGTGGCCATTGACTGACCTGTCCTGGGTCAACAGAGACTCTGAATGTTTTAAAGTTTTACACACATGATAAGATTATTTAGTTTTGGTGCTCTCTGTCTTGGTTCTTTCATCCAACATAATTAAGACTTAATATTTATCAGCTTGTCCATTGCATTTTAAATGGATTAGCAATGAATATAACACAATTTTTTAATCAATCAATCAATCAATCAAACAAACAAACAAACAAAAACAGGAAAAGATGAGTTCTGGAAATGAAATTTGAGAGTAGAAAGCACTGTGGCAGAAGAGGGGCCAGGGAAGACACAGATTTGTAGCTAAGCAGGTTCAGAATGGTGTGTGTGTGTGTGTGTGTGTGTGTGTGTGTGTGTGTGTGTGTGTAGGGGTTTAGCTTCACCAGGCAATAGAGGGATAACATCTAGCTCCTTTCTCCTGCTGTAGTCAAGTGTAGCAGGCATGCTTCTCAGTTCAGGATGGATTCTGACATGGTAATGTTGAATTTTGGGAGGTCTTTGTGCAGGAAGCCTAGATATTTTGGTCTCTACTTAAAGTGTGTTTCACTTCAGACAAATGGAACACACGCCTGTGTTGTGCTGCGAGCCAATCATATCTCATCTGAGATGTTTGACAGTGAAGTCAAGGACACAAGCAAAAGCAACTTCTGGCGCGTGCGTGCGTGCGTGCGTGCGTGCGTGCGTGTGTGTGTGTGTGTGTGTGTGTGCAGCTGCCGGTGGACTGGCATAGCTGCTTCCATCTCAAAGGCCTTGTGCTGACCTCCATAGATTGTTCCTGTATATACTTACAGGGGAGCCCCAGCAAGCTCAGGGCTTCATGGGTCAATTTGAGAACAGTCTTCTAAAAATACTGACTACGAAGCAAACAATGCTGAGAGCGAATGAGGAACTTACTCTTAAGACTTAAGTGGTAGAAGTTATGATCTAGATGTAGGTTACATGTCCATACAAAAGTTTTAGGAATTACTGATGCTGGTGGTGAATATTTCATTTTCTGTCTCTCTCCCTCTTTCTCAGGCAAGGTCTTCTATGTTCTAGGCTTCCATGTAACTCATTATACAGCTCAGGCTGGCTTTGAGTTTATAATCCTTCTCCTTCACCTTCCCAAGTGAAGGTGAAGGTACAGAGGTGTTTATCAGGTCATCCTTAGCTATACTTACGAGAGGTAAATACTTCAAAATGGTTAAAATAACATATGTGTATATATACATACATATGTGCTAATTGTGTATATATAACATGTATGTCTGTGACTTAGAAAAGTTAGTACGTGAATTGTATGTTGTATGAATTGTATCTTAGCTAACAATTTTTAAGACACCTAATACTTAAAACTTGTTTTCAAAAGATTTATTTATCTTATTTTATGTGCATGAGCATTTTGCCTGCATGTATGTAGTATGTGCACCATATGTGTGCCTGGTGCCCACAGAGGGCAAAAGATGGCGTTTACAACTGGGGATTACAAATGGTTGTGAGCCACCATGTGGGTGCTGGGAACCAAACCTGGATCCCATGCAAAAGCAGCAAGTGATCTTAACCTGTGAGCTATGTCCCCAGCCTCCAAGACATTTGCTTTTAAGCATCTGGTGCCTTTACAGACAGAAGCTGCTCAAGCATTTGTATGTCCCCTTTATTTCTGCAGTCTCTTAGAGGAGGACCAGCTTGAAGTAGTGTTTAGGCTTTAGCATATCAATCTGATGTATATGGCCATGTGGGTCTCCTTAGGTATCTGTAGAGAGCATCATAATGCCCATTCAGTTTGGTGACATATTACATGTGATTTATTAAAGCCACTGGAGATCAAAATAGCAAAGCCAGTCACACTAGTTAGCTATAGAAGCCGGGTGGTGGTGGTATACACCTTTATTCCTACCACTTGGAAGGCAGAGGTAGACGGACCTCTGTTAGTTCAAGGCCACACTGAGATACACAAAATATATCCAGTCTTAAAGAGAAACAGCTCACACAAAGATGATCTCAGCACTTGGGATCACAAGCCCAGGACTCATGAGAGGCATTTAAGACTGGAAAGGGTCTCAGAGCTGGCATTCATTCTCCAGCCACATTGAGAATAGGAAGTCATTGATTCTCCAGCCATGCTGAGGAGAGGCAGCAGTCAGAGGCTTGGTGAGAGCTGGTGGAGACAGGATCAGCCCTTTCAAGCCTGAGGCAGAGGTAAGAGTTAGTGGCGTGGCTGCTTTCCTCTGATCTTCAATTTGAGGCTTGAACCCCAATATCTGGGTCTTTTATTTTTCACATTATAATTCAGTGTCACTATATGAGAGTCTGGGCCTGACACATGTGGTATTGTTAATTATGTGTGTGTTAGTCATATCTAAACCTGAAACATTTGGACAATCCTTCTGCATTTTAGTAGGTTTCAGGTACTGACTTTTCTGGAAGCTGAACTGAGTACTGTTGGACCTCTTTTCCAATCAGTCATCAGGAAGTGAGATAGCAGGACTTTTCATTTTCAGTTGTTTGTTCTGGATTCAGATCTGCTTCGCTGAAGATGGAGGCTGAGGATCTTTCAAAGGCCGAGGACAGGCCTGAGGACCCCGGTTTCCAAAATGAAAACCAGTCCCCTGCTCTGAAGCCCGATTTCCCACTAGAAGAGCAGTGTCCTGGCCCCACTGTCCTCTGGGACATGCTTGAAAAGAAATTTCTGGAATACCAGCAGCTGACACACAAGAACCCTGAAGAACGTCGGAAGAACCTGCTCAGCCTTCTCCCCCTGTTCTTAAAGGTCAGAACCACAAATTTTATTTTATTTTTATTTGTCACACAAATATGTTTTTGGCCACTTGTGGGGTGTATTTCTATGTATTTGGCCACTTGTGAGGTGTATTTCTATGTATTTGGCTATTTGTGGGGTTTATTTCTATGTATATGGCTATTTGTGGGATGCTTTATAAAGCTTTGATATGCCCATTGTCCAGTGATCTCAACTTGAGTATTTAGTAAACTGTGTGTATCAGCTAGTTACCTTTTGTTTCTGGTGAGATTGTGTGGAGGTCTCATTCCAAGTTATCTGAAAATACATGCCATTGTTAACTTGGGGGCCTGCTGCTCTCCCACACCATAGGCTTTGAGGACACTTGAGAGATGGCTAGAAGTGAAATCGGTGGTTTGAATATCAACACAAGTGCTCTCTGGTGAGTTCGGAGAAGACAGGCTTGTCTGAGTTTGCTCATGAGCTGTCATGAATTACCATAAACACCATGGCTTATAAGCAATATGGAAATTATTTCTCCAATTATTTTGAAAAATATTTGGTAGATATAATAATACCAACAACTGAACAGTTGAAACTCTCAGTGTATATAAAAAGCCCTGGATGATTTTGGTTGATGAGGCTGGAATGTCTAAAGTTGGCTTTTTCATTTTGGGTCCAGCGAAAAATAAGGTGATCTAGAATGTCCTTTGAATGAAGGCAATATACATGAGTTTGAGTTGTTCCTGCTTGGAAAGGAATATTTCCTGAGGTGTGTGTGGGGTCACACCCAACCGGAGCAGCTTCTTTGTCAATCAGACTGACATAGAAAGGGTGAGCCTTGTGGTGATAAGTCTTCAGTGAAGGTTCACAGTCCACACATGCTTTAGCATGGCTACCCTTGAGAATGGCAGAAGAGCCACTACTAACCCATGCAAAATTTTAGTTACCATTTTGGTAACAGGAAGGCCCAGGGGAATCTGAAGGGTACAGAATTCTGACAGGGCCTGAGCCGAGGGCTGAGTCACCTCTAGGGCCACAGGCTCTTCCCTGTGGTCGGGGCTCAGGTCCCCTGTGCAGAGGAAGAAATGCTCTCAACCAGGCCAAAGTCAACAGAGGCTCAATACTGATCTAGGGTCACCTCCCCAGGGATATGCTCTAGCCTCCTTTTTAGCATCACCTTGTTTTGTCTTCGACTAGCACTCCCCAAACTATACAAAGATGCTCATGACTTACCATGGCTTGACTTAGGGTATTTCAACTTTATGTGCAAATTAGTATGTGGTCAGCTGAAAGTAGATTCTAGATTTAAGACCTTGTTTTTCCAGGGCTGGGTGTGTCCTGTATGATCCTTTCTCTCTATGCTGGACTTTGGCAGTGAGTCCCAGCTCCTGGTCAGCCTGGGCATGATAGGTGAGCAGCTGATGCTGGCATCTAAAGCACAGTGAGCCCCAAGGGGGCAGAGGTAAGACCTTCAGAGCAGTGTTGTGGTGTCAGCTGAACAGACGCTGTCATGCATGAGACCTAGACAACACTCAGCACTACTCTGCCTGGTGCTGGGTGAGGTGTTTACAGGTTCTCACTGCAACCTCTGATGGACGGGACCTAAACTTAGGACGGCTCTGTAAGTGAGGAAATCTGCAGGTGTTGAGAAACCTGTCCAAGGTTATCCAGCTGTTATCTGGGAGCAGAACTGAACTGACATCAACATCGCTAAGCACGGTGCTCAATTGCTTAGTGCTTGAGTTTGTAGAATGGGACCTATCTACTTTCCCTTTCCCTGCCTCATAATGACTTACCATGTAATGACTTTGCCTGGCTGGAGTTTTACTTTTCCTTTGGTGACAAAATGATTGTCACTCCCTGAACACATGATGTTTGGGCAGCTGACTCCAGGGTGTGGCAGGCAGGGAAGAGGTGTCATTGCGTCACATAGGAAGCAACGTAGGGCCTGTGGCTTCTGCAAAACAGAGGGCAAAGTTGTCAGGATTGCTGTTCTTTGTGCGTGCAACTGTGGGCTTTGAATCATGAGAACATCACAGGGTCTCATGCTGGAAAAAAGAAGCACGCTCTGGGAGGCATGAATGCACAGGCATGAGCCTTTGGCTGCGTTTGCTCCAGATGAGAGGCAGTGCAGGTCACGCAAAGACCCTCTGTGATAGCATACTATCAGGAGAGCCGATGCTGTAGGTCTCGTTGCTGAAGACTATTCTTAGAATTTGTGCTTTGAGAAAAACAGGAAGCAAGGCAGAGAGGGCGCAGGAGTAATTGTAAAACCCCTCAGTGTATAAAACTGGGGAGGGACATTGGAGAAATGAGAGATCTATGGATGCGGTAGATAGGGATTCTGGCAATGGGCTCACACTCCGTTTTGAAAAAATTATTGCTTTCAATATTTGAGGCTACAATATAATCACATCATTTCCCCTATTCTTTGTTCCCTCCATACTCTCCCATATGCCCTTCCATGCTCTCTTTTAAATCCATGGCCTCTTTTTCATTAATTGTTACTTAACACACCTCACACAGACCCCCCCTACAACACTACACACACACACACACACACAAGACACAGACACACATGCAATATAGAGATACACATTCACACAACACACAGACACATACACACACACTACACACACACACTACATGCACACACACTACATGCATACACACTATACACACACACACTACACACAAACACAGACACACACACACTACGCTCACACACTACATGCACACACACTACACACACACACACTACACACACACACACTACACACACATTACACACAAACACAGACACACCACACACACAGACACACACACTACACACACACTACACACACATTACACACAAACACAGACACACACACACTACATGCACACTACACACCCTCATACATACTACACATAGACACACACCATTTTGTTGTTGTTGTGGTTGTTGTTTCAGAAAATGCTTTGGTGCACCGCTTTAAAAAATGTAAACACACATTGCTGGGCAGTAGTGGTGCACACCTTTAACCCCAGCACTGGGGAGGCAGAGGCAGGCAGATCTCTGTGAGTTTGAGACCAGCCTGGTTACAGAGCGAGTCCCAGGACAGTCTCCAAAGCAATACAGAGAAACCCTGTCTCAAAAAACAAAACAAAACACCCAAAATATAAACACACACTTATTTCCAAATAAAATATAAACACCTTCTCAGTCTCTATAATATTACCTCTACGTATATGTTTGCAGGGGTGACCATTTGGTATTGCATAACCAATTGGTGTGGGATCCCTGGTGAAGACTAATTTTCTTGGTCTCAGCATTCCTTAGTTGCCTGTGGTGCTTTGCATAGGAGTACATACCTACAGACCTCTTGGTTATAGACCTCTTGAACTTCTCCCTGTGCACATAATGTATCTATGGCTGCGTCCTTGTTCATCTCATACTTGGTGAGTCATGTTGGTGAAACTTCAGAAGTATAGCTTTCGACAGTCTTAGAAGACACCATCTCACGGCAAACTCCCTGATCCTCTGGCTCTTACTTTCTTTCTGGCCCCTCTTCAGTGATCCTGAGCTGGGTTTGGGAGCTTGTATTGTGCTGGGGCCGGTAAACTCTGCATTTACCACAATCTTCTTGAATCTAGGTGGGTTTTGGTGACTTAGCTAAAGGAATAGGAAAGAAAAACATTTCTAGGCACAGGGCTCAGGGCTCAGGGCTCAGGGCTCAGGAATCTCAAGTGGCTACTTCTTGTTACTTGGAATTCTGGGATAGTCACTCATTTGCAACATGTTGCTACCAAGTAGTGGGAAGGTCAGACAGTCCTGAGAAAAGAGCCATGTGCACAGGAATGTGCTGGTTCTGCCTCTCATTTATTTCCTCCTCTCTGTGCGTGCACACGTGGGTGCGCACGTGTGTGCATGTGTGCATGTGTGTGTGTGTGTGTGAGAGAGAGAGAGAGAGAGAGAGAGAGAGAGGGTGAGCTATGTCCACTCTTAAAGCTAACTACTGATCTAATGGAGTTTGTTTCATTGAATATGGTCATTTGAAAAGTAAATCCACAGGTAACTGAAGAAAGATAAGCAACACTGTATCTAATGGGAGGGGCTAACCAACAATGACTTTCCAGTGTGATTTCCAGAGGGCACACAGATAGTCAACGTCTGCTAGCTGGCTCCTGAGTCTGCACTACCTTGCAGTAGAGATGGACCATGGCTACTCTCACCTTGGGGGAACTGAGTTTTGTTGTTTTAGCAGAAGCTTCCCTGTACCACCTCACTTTTGTTTCTGATTTATAAAGGAGGTTGTTCACGGTGCCACACTAAGCAGAAAGCCTCACATAAAGCCTTGGGAATAGCTGAAACTGAAAGGCAAACCTCCCAGACTAAAGAACAGTAATAATAATACCATGCTCGGGCAGGAAACCCAACCAAATTTTTTGTTGTTTTGTCCTGGGAAGCTGGGGTTTTCTCCCATCTCATGAGCTTTTGTCTTTGTTTGTTTTGCTTTGGAGATCATAATGCCATCTTCTTTCTTACAGGGGAAGAGAAGGAACGGCCATGAGGCATGATGGTGCAGCTTAGATAATGTTAGTAAATAAAAGCTGTTTGTTTTTCTTTTTAAATATTGAGCAATATTCTCTCAGCATGCAAGTCCCAGTTTGGGAAAAAATTAGGGCCTTTTTGGAAGCTACTTTAACTCTTTGGAGTCTCCACGGTACCATTCAGTGACTGATTGGCTCTGTGCATCAAATGGCACCCTGGTGGCCCGAAAGAGTTAAAGCAGCCGGGAGAAAGCGCCCATCACAGTCCCAGGAAGCAGCTGTGCCCGGGGAGCCCCAGCTCTGAGTACAATTACTGCTCAAATCACAGTGGCCCTATTTGCTTTATTGTCCCGTGCCTCCAGGAGTCCCACGGCTCCCAAGACAATATCCATGCTCTAGAATCAACGGCCTGAAAATTGGTCTTTGAAGGGCTTGGGAGTACAGGGAGGAGGTAAGGAGTTTATATGAAAGTTTGCACAACAGAGTTCGTGGTCCTGAGGAAAGATTCCACCTCATTCCAAGCCCAAAGGACTATTTTCCATCTAGAGAGTGTGTGTCTGAGTGACTCCGCCTTTGCAGGTGGTAGGTGCCCTGTTCACACATATGAAAAATAAAGGCTACTCGGCTGGGTTCCCTATGTGTGAAATAATTCAACTCTTCCTCTTTCTCCTCCTCCTTCTCTTGCATTTTCCTCCCCCCTCCTCTTTTTTGAGACAGTCTTATTATATAGCCCAGGCTAGCCTTGAACTTGTGCTGGAACCACAGGTATGTACCACCACCATGCCTGGTTGAAACAACTGAACTCTTGAGGCTGCATCTTAACGGATTCTTTCGCTTAATCCCTCTCTCACTCTCAGTATTTCTGTTGCTATGATAAAATGCCCTGACCAAAAGCATCACAGGGGGAGAAAAGGGTGTATTTGGTCCATAATTCCAGAGTATTGTCCATCACTAAGGGGAAGGCAAGGCATGGACTCAAACAATTTAGTCAGATCACATCTATTGTCAAAACTGTCTGCCTGTTTGCACTTAACGTCATCTTATCTACCAAGGTCCAAGACTACTGCTACCCACAATGTGCCGAGTCTTCCTGTATCAATTAACACCCAAAACAAATCCCCACAGGCAAACCTGATTAGAAAATTTCTCACTCAGGCTTTCTTCTCAGGTAATTCAATGTTGTGGCAAGTTGACATTTAAAACTAACCATCCCATTCCACTTCTGCAAGTGACCCTAAAAGTAGTGCCAGCCTCAAAGGACAGTGTGAAGATTAGTGGAAATAAGACCATCATATTATATTATGTGTTTGGCCATCATTAGTGTGCATAGCGGGCATTGAAATCACTTTTTCTGTTTGTCAAGCATTTGTTGAAGACATACTGTGTCCAACTGTTATCAGCAATCGAAGTTCTAAAGTGCTATCATATCTCCTTCTATTTACAATCCTTTGTCAGTTAGGCCAACATTTATAGAACAGAACATTTAAAATACAAAACCAAAAATTCATAACCTATGCAACATTTAGCTAAAAATGTAACACATGAATCCTAGTCATTTAGTATTTAAGAAATGAAACACAAATCCCGTGGACACACTGTAGAGACCATTCTTACAAACATAAACCACTTATTAAATGTGGAGTGTGTGTACCATTCCCTGTGTGGTTGTTACTAGACACACAAACATCTGTCAGTCTTAGACAATAAAGACTTACAGCATAGTTTTCGTTGCCACCATAAGATTTTGTAGATGCCTTCCATGATGAACTTGTATAATTGGTTCTTACAACATTCTGTTTATGGTGTTTATCCATGCCAACACATTCAGCCTTATGTTTTCAGTGCTTTTTGTATCCTATTACATAAGAATTCCACAACTTATTCACCCATCATCTTATTGTATGTAGTAAGGGTTTTCTCCAATTCTCCCTAATCACACATAGGGCAACAGAAGTATTTCTTGTTCAGCTCCAACATTTCTCTAGGGAATATGTCTAGGAGGGTAACTGGGGGCTCTAAGGTGTGGGTCCCTTTCAATTTACTGCTGAGTTTGCAGTGTAAGAAGCAGAAAACAGTCTTCTTCACTACCCAGTCCAAAGACTGAACTTGAGACAAACGACATTTCATTCCTTAGATGAAGGTGATAAGGATGCTCTGGAAGGCGGGCTGTAGAGAAGCCAGTGGTATGTATAGGACAATCCTATCAGTTACAGTGTGCTCTCACAGAGCCTGTGGTGTGCATGTGGCAAGTGTTTCAGTTACTTTTCTGTTCCTGTGACAAAATACCATGACGGAAAGCAGCTTATAGGAGGGTTTATGTTGGTTTAAGGTTCCCAGGGGATAGAGACCAATCATCATGTCAGGGGAGGCAGGGCATCAGGCAGGCATAGTAACTGCTGTGACAATCTCAGCAATGATGGCTCAGCTACACACATGCTGTCCACATACATTTGCAAGAATGGTCTCTACAGTGTGTCCACAGGATCCGTGCTTCATTTCTTATATACTAGGTGTTGAGGATTCATGTGCTACGTTTTCAGCTAAATGGTGCACGGGGTCTGAATGTTTGGTTTTGTATTTTAAATTTTCTATTCTACAAACGTTGACCTAACTGACAAAGGATTGTAAATAGAAGGAGATCTGGCAGCGCTCTAGAGCTTCGCTGGAACAGAACTGTTGACAACTGTTGGACACAGCGTGCGTGCGGATGAGACCGCATCGCTCAGCTTCTTGTTCCGGTCACTGCGCCTGCCTGTTTCAGCACCTTCCTTTCTGTGCACACAGGAAAGCAGAAAGAGTGTGCAGGAAGTGGGGTGAGACTATGAACCCTCAAAGCTCTCCACACTCAATGTACTTCCTCCAGCAAGGCCGTGTCCCTAAGGTTCTACACCCCTGCCCCCAAATAGCACTGCCATGTATTTAAATGTGTGAACCCATGGAGGACATTTCTCATTGCAGCTACCACAATAATCCCTCAGTGGAGAAGAAGGAGTTAGCAGTGTTATGTAGCTCTAAACAAAAGGCTTCACTTTAGCCTGAAATTCCATGTTTTAGAATCTATCGGAATGAAATAAATGAGTGACTAAAGCAACACTTGAAAACTGTATGCTGTGGTTTGGACATGGTTTGAGTTGACCCCAAGGGCTCACCTGCTGGAAGTGTGGACCTGGTGCAGGAAGCTGTAAGAGGAGGGACCAGCACAATGAGCAGGGGGCATTGCCCTTAGGAAGGATTAATGCTCGTCTCTCAAAGTGGTGTCTCGCAAGAGCAAGTTGTTAGGAAACAAAGTCACGGTTTCTTGGTCCCTTCTGCATCTGCTTTATCCCCTTTTGCTTCTGAGCTATGCTGTGTCACCGAGAGTGGCCCTCCCTAGAGGCCAAACAGATGGAACCTCCTGGTCTTCGACTTCCTGACTCCAAAACTACAGGTTTAATAAACCTTGCTTAAGTATTTTGTTATAGTAGCAGAACATGCACACTGCATAAGAAGATAATCAGTGAGATAAAGCAATTGACTAGGTGAGGGGAGGGTGGAAAGGAAACCCCGGTAACAACATATTGAGTGAATGTTTCTGAAGATATGTGAACAAAGTGTCTTCTTACCCCAAATCAAGTTCAGCTTGGTGAGGCCATGGGTTTAGTTAGGGCTTCTTATGGGAACATGCCTGTGCTAGTGAGTCTCCTTCCCCTGCAGCCATTAACTGTGTATCTATCCTTGGTGAGAGGGTGCGGCCTCCTGAGTCCCATTCCATCCAGGGATGGAAAGTTAAATGGTCCAACCTTGTACAGGGTTCCTTCAGGTAATCACAGCTGTGGATGGTTGAAGAGAGCAATGTCTATATTATACCCAGAGAACAGCTGCTCTACAACATCCCTCCTGAGATCTCTCCTGGGGTAGTCTGACCCTGGCAGGGCATTTTCTGACACTGGGTGTAGGTCTCAGTGGGCTGCAAGTGCACTGGGTACAAAGCGTCTGATGTTTTGATAACATATGCTCAGACAAGTTCCGGAGCTCGGCAGGAAGCTGGAGCATTTGGAGTGTGGGTCCTGGGCAAAGATTGAGTGGATTACTTCTCTTATTGTTGCAACTTAAGGGAGGAAGGGCTCTGAGTTCCAGGGACTAGCCCATCCTAGCAGGGGTCATGGCCACAGGAAAGTGAGGCCCCCCAGATCACATCTCCAGTCGGCAAGCGAGAGAGAGAGAGAGATGAACATTGTTGCTTAGCTCCCTTTACCTTTTTACTCAGTCTGGGTCTAGTACACTGAGAGGTGATTCCCACAAGCATGTGGCTCTTCCCATTTAGTTAACCTCATCGAGCAAATCCCTCATGATGATTCCAAGCCTTGCCGAGTGTCAACCAAGACTAACCATTGCAGTGGATGATGGGTGACCTTTTGGATATAGCTGGGACAGGAAGTGGAGCCTTTGTCTGGCTGGAGGCTTGGTTTATTGCACTGCTTCCTCTAACTGGAGTCTGTTTGTGCCTTTCAGGCCTGGGAACACTCCGTGGGCATCATCTGCTTTCGCAGTCTCCAAAGGCTGGCAGAAGATGTGTCCGACCAGCTTGCCCAAGAAATCCAGCAGGCACTTGCTGGAAAGCCTGCAGGTAAGAGAGGCTCTGGAGTGTGGGATGGAGAACACAGCTGACTGCAGACCCACTTGACTCCCAATTCTCTCTCTCTCTCTCTCTCTCTCTCTCTCACACACACACACACACACACACTACATTTGCACAGTCATATAGTCACTACACACCCACACATGGACACAAAACACAAATAAGTCACATAGAGATGCTTACAGCCACACTGTACACGTTGCATAATTCTACACATCACACACAGAGACACTAAACATGAATACTTCACTTACTCAGATGCTGCATTCACACACACACACACACACACACATACACATGCACGCAGGCATGTGCACACGCAGACACAGGACCAGGATCTTGGGGTCAGAGAAGGAAAGCTTGTTCAGTGGAAATCTTGGTCTGCTAAAGATGCTGAGGCTAGAGAATGCACTACACTAATCAGACCTTGGTGTAGGTTGCTGGGTTTTCAGTGGTGTAAGGTGCTGGGTGATACAAGAAGTGGGGTGAAGAGTCTGGATTATAGGGGTCCAATGGTGAAGGGGCTATTATTAACTATTTGGTAACTGGGAACCATGGATGACTATTATGGGTAATAAAAGTGTCATCCCAGGTTATTAATCTTGAGGAGAGTAATGTCTGGGACATATGCAGATGGCCTTGAGGTATTTGGGCATGGAGGCCCGTGGTTTGCAGCAGTGCAGACACATCTTTGGGGAAGAGGAGGCTCTGGAAACTGGGTGGCCGGGATGCTTCACCAATCAGTGTTTGACATCTTGCAGAGCAAGCCCGGGCTGCAGCTGGGCAGTTACTGCGGTGGAAGGGTGACATGGATCAGGATGGCTACCTGCTCCTGAAGTCGGTGTATGTGCTCACGGGGACAGACTCGGTGAGTTCCAGGCCTTTGCCCAGGTGTCCCAAAGTGCCCCCTAGCTGTGGACAGAGAGAATTAAGGCCTAGAATAGGGCAATGGAAAGTCCCCTTCCATAGATTACTCATTATGTTTACTCCCTTCTCCCTTTCTGATGCTACATGGACTTCAAGGGCCTGAGGTTCAGGCTTGGGCCATGCCTCCTTAATGGACAAGCAATGTGTAACCACAAGTGAATTAGTTCATGTCTTCCACTTGCTTGAGTTGTGCTTCTGATTTTAGAAGTTGGGTTACTCATCCCTCTCTTCTAGTGTCAGTGTAGCTGACTTCACCAACCACTCCCTACCTGTTAGGGCCACACGTGGTGCCAATTAGTATTCTCAAGGACCCTGAGTTGGAATACAGAGATTCGTCATTCCCAGAGCCCCTGATCTGGGCTCCATGTTCCAACTGGTCCAACTGGAGTGAGGTCCACCTGAGTGTACTGTACCCTGTGCTGGTTGTGGCTGTGACCTCTCATCATGGAACTGGGAGTCTCAGGCTTGTGGTTAGTGAATGAGTGGCTAGTTTCCTCTTAGGAACCGTGGCAGTGTGGTCATTAGCAGAAATGGCCAAACACTTTTGCAAGACATGTCAAGAGCTTCACAGAGGCAGCAAGAGTGGGTATCTGTATGTAGGAACCATGGCAAGAGACAGGTAGGGTGCATGAAGAATCAGGAAGGTATTTGGATATTTGTGTGGAACTGGGATGGCATAGCCTGCCATGACTGTCTGGGACAGGTTCATAGCCTTGCCATAGATGCTAAAACTGCAAGGGGAAACCATGACTTGTACTCAGTGTTTGCCCTTGAGTTGGTGTGTGTGTGTGGGGGGGGTCTGTCTGCAGTCTAAGTGTCTGCAGAAACAGACAGCCCTGAAGCAGTGAGGAAAGCTAAGAGCTTGCTGTTGAGGAGGACACGGACAAATCCAACCCCATCTCCGGGAAGTAAAAAAAACAACCAGGGCTTCAATAAATGGAGGAAGGGCTTTGCCTTTCAATGAAGCAGTCACCGTAGGTGAGTACCATGATCACCTACATTTCCCAGCTGAGGACAAGGAATGCAGAGAGGGAAGCCGTTTCCACCCAGCTCCACAGATGTGAGGGCTCGATGCATGTTAGAGTTGCCTCTGCTGTGGGTGACCTGCGCTCTTCCCTTGCAGGAGACACTGGGCAGAGTGGTTGGATCAGGACTCCCAGCCCTGCTCTTGCAGTGCCTGTACCTCTTCTTTGCCTTCCCCGTGGAAAAGGATGAGCTTTTAGAGAGCGATGTCCAAGGGCAGAGGATGTTCGTGCAGGTGAGTGAGCAGGGCCCTGGCCTCCCCTTGCCTTGAGCTTGTGTGGGAGGGGCCAGGCTCTTGGCTGTTCCTGAGGGAGGCTTTTGCCTATCTCAACCTTAGCTTCCAGGTGCCTTGACCTCTCCAGGTACTGTTCTTCCTGCATCTCTACAATGCAACATCTGTGTGGTTGCAAGATGGTTTTCTCGCTTGTTGTCTTCAGCCATGTACCAATATCTACATTCCCCTGGACTCTCTATGGCCAGTGGGATCCTCCCCCAACTTGGTTCCCCTCCCTGCCTCAGCTCCCTTCCCACCTCCTCCTTAGCATCTGGAAGCCCATCTCTTTGGACATTTCCCCCCAGTCTGAATCGAAAGACAGGAGCCAAAATGTTCAAAAATGCAGTCACAAGGCACCCGATGCATCACTTCTGAGAAGTGAATCACTAGGTGCTGTCATTCATCACTGTGTGAGCATCATAGAAGACAGGGGCACAGGCCTAGATGTCCCAGCTCAGTCACCAAGTGTGACTTTGATATGTTCAAGAAGTACGCGTTTTACAGGAAGTTGGTTTTGTAAGTAGGAAGAGGATGTCCCTTTCCTAGCTGCCTGTGTGCACAGTCCTGGCTGGGGCCGAGGGTAAACATGCTCCCTCTGCAGTCCGACTGCTGAGCATGGCTGTCGATGTTCCAGAGAAGCAGGGAGCAAGCTGCCATAGGAGCACCCATCCTAACCAAACCTCCTTGTTCTGTATTCCTCCCAGATGTTGTTAAACATTTGCAGTGAGTCTCAGGGTCTGGAGGGACTTCTCTCAGGAAGCGAGCTGCAGTCTCTACTGATTGCTACCACCTGTCTGCGGGAACACAGCTGCTACTTCTGGAAAGAGCCTACCTTCTGTGTGCTGAGGGCTATCTCCAAGGCTCAGAGCCCCAGCATCATCCAGTATCTTCGAAGTAGGTTCCAGGAGACCAGGTGTGGGCCGTGGGTCACTTGAGGGTCCTTTAGCTCAGAGTGTGGATCAGTATGGACACGCCCCAACCTTATATAGCTCTGTTTGTGAAAACATGAATGTTGTCTCTGGATGCTTCACCGGGGAGGGAGAGAAGGGGGGCTCATTTACCACATGGGTGTTTCCACAGAGAACATGCAGGGCCTGAAGGCTTATTACATCACCAGCCTCTGGAGACAGATGTTAGCATGGGGAAAGTCGAGCTCAAGAGTGGTAGAAGATCTTGGCAAGTTCTGTTTTTAAACAGGGAGACATCTGATCCCTGCACCTTAGTGCTTGTGTTAGGGAAAGTGTTGAGGGGAATGAAGGCTGGAGACGGGAACCACAGCTAGGCTGTGAACTCCAGTTCTGATGAGTGATCGCAGGTCCGTTACCACAGGGGCTTCCCGTTTGCGTCATCTATAAGACAGGCAGCAGGATAGCATGGAAAGCCTTGCCCGTTATGATTTTCAGTGGGTTGACATACACACAGTGCCTGGACAGCACTCATACATTGGCTTCAAGCATCAGACTCATCACTTGGGTTTTATTAGAGACGAAATATTGCGGGCTACACACGAGTCTCCAGAGAGGCAGAAACCTCATCACAGTGCGATTGGTCTGGAGTAGGGAAGAAAGCCTTCTAAACCCAGTTCTCAAGAGGACATGTTGAGGAAGGCTCGCCTCCATCTCTACTCACCTCCCACCCTCTGCCCAACATTTCCTCAGCTCCTTCAGATGAGCACAGATGCCATATTGGAACACAGCACTTCTTTTCTTGGGCTGATCCCAGAGAATGGGCTCTTTGGGGACAAGCTGGGTTTCTGAGCTGCTAATACCACCTGCATGTTCACAAATACATGCTCTGATCTGTAATTTTTCTGGAATAAGGAACATCTGCTGGTTAGAATTGAGAAGCCCACCAGCCTCTTCCCCGACTGTAACCCAGTCCCCGGAGGAGACACTGTGGGGTCCAAAGCCTCCCATGAGTGCAGCCTAGGTACACAGTTGAAGCTGAGTCATGCCTTGACATTTCAGTCTCCGTTACGCTCCCTCTAGCTAGGGTCTCAGTGGCTAGGGAAAGGCTGCAGGCAGGGACTGCAGGGGTCTCTACTGTTACCCTTTGCTGTCCAAGCCAAGGCCTCAGGAAGCTCCCTTCCCTGGGGAACTAGGCCCAGAGCCTTCCTACAGGCATGGGCTTGTGGGTCTAGAAGGTGCTTAGGAGAGGAGGCTGGCCTGCGAGTCACCACCACACCATCAGCTACTCTTGGGTCCTCCCTTGCCTAAGGCTCTTCTGGGTCCTTACAGCAGAGGGTCTGAGCCTGCGCCCTCCCAGTTTCACTTTTGTAACTTTCCTGCCACTAAGGAGAGTCTCCACTCCATGCCAACGACAGTCTGAGGGCCCCCCTTCTTCTGACTTCCCACCACTCCATGTGACCAACAAAGTCAGTGGCAGGCTCTTCATGAGTAGACCCCCACCTCTCTCCTTCCGCACAGCTCACACTTCTGCTTGAATGCCCCGGCTTCTTGCATTTCTGAAACATTCCCTCTACTGTCTTCCACCTCCTCACTCATATGCTGCCCCCTTCTCGGGGCTTCTCATCAAGCTGATTTGCTCAGCACCCCATGCTAGGCTCCATGTTGTTTCTTAAGACCTTCCGCAGTCTTATATGGCCTCTCTTATATAGGAGCTGGGACTCTCTGACACTCTGGGAAGGAGGAGCAAAGAGGGTACCCCCACACCCCAGTGCCAGCTGCTCCACACCCCAGTGCCAGCTGCTCTCTGGATGGCACCTCCCACGGGGAACCTCTTCTCGAAGCCGAGGCTACAGAAAACACTCAGTTTCTTCACACTCCAGCCTTGCTGTACACGTTGAAGAGGCGCTAGATGGTGGGGACGGGGCAGCGCCTTTTGTTTCCTGGCTCAGCAGGGCTATGTTTCCTTCCCACAGCTGCTGACTGGGTCCGGCTCTCAGTTCAGAACCTGTCCAAGTTGGCTGACACCCTCTCTGCTCCCGAGGTGAGCGAGGCTGTGAGCCTCGTCCTGAACTTTGTGAAAGACTCCTACCCAGTCTCCTCTGCACTGCTCCTGGAGTTTGAGAACGGGGAGGGCTATCCTCTGCTACTCAAGGTTCTGCTGCGGTGAGTGGCTGGGCCCGGTGAGTGGGGAGAAACTTGACCAGTCAAGCTGTGGTGCTCAGAATCATCCTACTGCTTTGGTGGAAGTCAAATAGCAAGGGTGTCTAAACATGCCTTCTGAAGTTCAAGACTCCAAGAGCATGACTAGAAACACCTTCTCCAGGCAGCAGTAACTGAACATTTGAACATGCCGTTAGCTTGGGAACCACTTCTTGTGTGTGTGTGTTTTAATCATTTTTATTTTAAAACACTCTTTTCTCATTTTTCATACCAATACCAGTTCCCACTCCCTCCCCTCCTACTGTCCCCCACCTTCCCCCCCCACCCTACCACATCTACTCCTCAGAGAGGGTAAGGCTTCCCACCGGAGTCAAGAAGTCTGGCTTTGAGGCAGGACAAAGGCCCTCCCCCCTATATCTAGGATGAACAAAAAGAATGGGCTCCAAAAACTGTTCAAGCACTAGGGATAAATCCGAGTCCCAGTGCCAGTGACTCCACAGACTGCTCAAGCCACACAACTGTCACTTACATTCAGAGGGTCTAGTTTGGACTTATGCAGGTTCCCCTGCTGTGGGTCCTGAGTCACTGAGCTCCCACTAGCTCAGGTCAGCTGTTTCTGTGCGTTTCCCCAAAATGGTCTTGACCCCTTTGCTCATATTATCGCTCCTTCTTCCCTTTGACTGGACTCTGGGAGCTTAGCCCAGTGCTTAGCTGTGGATTTCTTCATCTGCTTCCATCAGTTGCTGGATGAAGATTTTATGATAATTATTAAGGTAGTCATCAATCTGATTACAGGATCAGGCACCCTCTCCACTAATGCTTAGGGTCTTAGCTAGGGTTATCCTTCTGGGTTCCTGGGGATTTCCCGAGTGCCAGGTTTCTGGTTAGCCCCATAATGGCTCCCTCAATCAAGACATTTCTTTCCTTGCTCTCCCTCTCTGTCCTTCCCCCATCTCAACCATCCTTTTCCCTCATGCTCTCCTCTCCCCTCCCTCTTCCACCCTCCCTATTTCTCCTTCCCAGAGGGATCCATGTATGTCTCTGCTAGGGTCCTAGCTTCTCTGTGGTTGTGGATTGTAGGATGTTTACCCCTTGCTCTATGTCTAATATCCACTTCTGAATTAGTACATACCATGTTTCTTCTTCTTCTTCTTCTTCTTCTTCTTCTTCTTCTTCTTCTTCTTCTTCTTCTTCTTCTTCTTCTTCTCCTCCTCCTTCTCCTTCTCCTTCTCCTTCCCCTTCCCTCTCCTTCTCCTTCTCCTTGTCCTTGTCCTTGTCCTCCTCCTCCTTCTCCTTCTCCTCCTTCTTCCATCTATTTGCATGCTTCAAGGTGTACTGTATTTACTCCACTGTAAATATACCACATTTTCTTTATCCATTCTTCAGTTGAGGAGCATCTAGGTTGTTTCCAGGTTCTGGGTATTATGAATAATGCTTCTATGAACACTGTCGAGCAAGTGTCTTTGTGGTGTGATTGAGCATCCTTTGAGCATGTGCCCAACAGTGGTATTGCTGGGTCTTGAGGTTTTCTGAGAAACTGCCATACTGATTTCCAAAGCGGCTGTACAGTTTGCACTCCCACCAGCAGTGGAAGCATGGGAACCACTTCTTTAGGGAATTAGCGACTTACATTAACAGCCACTTCAGCAATCTGCTGCATGGCATGCATACCTGCACGTTGCTGACCTGCCTTCTATCTCTTAGATCTCACATGCCTCTCTCAGAAGCTTTCTGGGGTCTGCTGCAATTTACCCTACCTCAGTGTTTGGAGGGCTGTGTGTAGGGACCATGCCCCACCCCTGGCTCTCCACCAATCACTGTTGGGAGCTGATGGGTAACTACCCAATAGAGTTGTCCTTTGGGCGCTTCTGCCCCACACCGTTACAAATCCATCAGAAGGACAAGTACAGTTGTCTTGGGAGGCACTAGCTTGAGAATGCATTTTCTTTTGCCACTTCACATGGCCCGCCCCTCCACCCCTGCTTGTTGTATCTGAGATCAACTCTCAAGTGAAGGTCTTCTCTCTCAGACCCATGAACAGCGAGAAAGATACTGCATCTGTGGCTGGACCAATTTCTCCACTCTGTCTTACTGTGTTGTATTCAGAGGATGGATGCCTAGGTATTATTAGCAAGAGCAAAAGATGGAAATAAAAGGAATCCCTTTGTGGCACAAACCCTTCCGCTAAAGTTGGGGAACCTGCTTCAGGGCAAGGCTGTGCACACTCCCTTGGGCTTTGCTTGGCTTCTCCTCAATGGAGTGGACCTTAGCAATGTCTTTTACAGACTTCATGATAGAAGTGTACTGGAGATGATTTGGATGAGAGAGGCTGAAGGCCCTCGGTGTAGTGTCCATAGCCACAAGGTTTTAAATAAAGAATCTCTTCTTCAAAATGATGCTAGGAATAAGTGGTTCTTTGGGTATACCACACACATAGTAAGCAGTCTGGCTGATGGTCACATGATGGTGGCCATTGTGGTACCATGGATGGTACCTGTACGTTCCTGTATGTTTCTTTTGTTCACTTGATGGGCAGCTTTTCCTAGGCTTCTTGTAGAAGACAGATGGGGGGGGGACCAGTGTGAGGAAGCAGCTGCTCAGCTCACCGCCTTTGTTTCCTGCTTCATATGTTCCTGATCTAAAGGATAGAGCTGGACAGAGACTCTGGGGCCCTGCCCCATGAGCAGAGAAGGGCACTACCTGGCCATCACCAGATAAACACAGAAGCAACCATTAGCCATAGGCTAGGCATGTGGAAGCTAGCCATGGAAAGCAGCCTTCCTCTAAACAGGACTGTAGTTTGTCTCCGGCAGGCTGCTCTGTACAGCAATCTCTGCTTCCTGACAGAGAGGATGCTCCGAGGAGCTCCAGTGGATATCTGAACAGTGAATCCCATGGAACCTGACACATAAATGTTTCCTCCTATATGCACATGTTTCCTCTTATACATACATACTGATAATCAACTTGAACTTGTAAACTGGATGCAATAAGAAGCTAGCAACAATAGTTAATAGCAAAGTACACTATATGCAGTCCTATAACAAATTAATTTAAAGCATGATTTTTTTTTTTAATTTCTGGAATCCTTAGTTGATGTGTGTGTGTGTGTGTGTGTGTGTGTGCTTTTAACATTTATTTTATTTAGATAAGGTCTCATATGGCTCAGGCTGATCTCAATCTCTCTATACTACCAAGGATGATCTTGACTTTCTGATCTTTCTGCCTCCACCTTCTGAATTCTGGGAATACATGCACCCATCACCATGATTGGTCCAATGCAGCACTGGGGATCAAAACCAGGATTCTGTGAAAGCTGGACAAACACTCCATCACCCGACCTGCACCCCAGTTCTGACTGATGCTCTGAAGCTGTAGCTGACTAACGGCAGTGGAAGGTTTAGAGAGCAGAGCACTAATGAGAAGGGAGTGTTGTGCCCAGAGAGATGGCTTGGTGGCTAAGAGCCCTTGCTGCTATTGTAGAGGACGTGGCTAGAGTTCAAACGCCTACATAGTGGCTTACAACCACCAGCAGGTGCACACACACACATACACACAAACACACACTCACACATACACACACACACAAAATCTGATTGCACTTCTTCAGGTGGAAGGCTGGAGTTTGTAAAAGGAGTGACGTTTATCCAGGGCTCTGCCCTCACCTTTGGTGCTGAATTCCTTCTGGCTAGAGACCTTCTGGTCTTTGTGAGGGGCACAGCATGCAAATGTGGCTGCTCCATCCAGGAAGTCCCAGGAACTGACCCTGTTTGTCCTGCAGGTATGATGGGCTGACCCAGGGAGAGGAGGAACCCCATCTTGAGGAGCTCCTGGAGCTGGTCATGTGGCTGACCACCTGCGGGAGATCAGAGCTGAAGGTGTTTGACAGCGTCACTTATCCTCAGCTTGAAGGCTTCAAGTTCCATTATGAGGCTTCTGGTGGGTCCTCCTTGTGTCTCCAAGTAGCTGGAGCATCAGTGTGTTGTCTTGATAAGGCTCTGCGTGTCTCTAATTCATTTGCACCTATCAATGATGCTGCCTGTGACCTTCAGGGACATGACCCAGACCAGTAGATATTAAATATCTCCCTAATCTACTTTGCAGCTGTGCAATTTCAATTTTGTACAAATAAGTTCGTTTTGTGTGCTTAATAGAGGCAAAGCACCTGTCAAGTAATGGAGGCATTCTCTGGATTCCACCCCTATTCGTGTGTGACTTACCCCATACCATTTGCTTGTATAGTGGCAACTGATGATCGTGAGTCATCCACCTAGGCTCAGAGTTGGTGGTTTCTCTTCCCAGCATGCTGAACATGAGTTGATGATGCCAGTGAGTTCACTGAGGCTTTCTGAGCAGCAGGTGCTCTGCCCCCTACTGGGTGCTGATATGAACAGCTATTGTTAGTTCTCTGATATCTCTCTGCTGGGGACTGCCTTGCATACATCAAACCACAGGCTGCGGGATGGAAAGCATTGCACATGCCTGACCTCTAGTGGGTCTGTCAGGAAACGAGGGGCTGGTGAGGGAGTTTTGAAGGTTAAGTTGTGAGTTGTCTAGGATGAAAGAAAGGGGAAGAGTTTAAGGGCACAAAGTACAGACTGGGGAAGAAACAGTGGTCTGAAACAACTGGGTGGGTCTAGAGATGCCAGCCAGGGCAGGACGGTACAAACTGTCAGGAGAGAGAGCTGGGTGGGAGAAGGGTATTGGGTGAGGCTTAAGCAGACCGAGAGGATCAGGGATGACAGGTAGGGGGAGAGTTCTGGCAAACCCAAGGCTTCAGATGAGGTATCCTGGAGTGAGAGAGAGAAAGGGGGAGAAAGGGCCATGTGGATAAAGAAGGTGCATGCATCCATTCGCCTGTCTAGAAGCAAACCTGACCTTGCTCGGTCACCTCCAGCATAGCTTGATTCTAGTTGATTGAAACCAAATCTCTTGGTCCAGCTTTGCTCAGTGGAAATATAATGTGGACCAGTCATCTACCCTTGATTTTAGATATGAAGACACTGGTTGAATTATTTCTGATCACACATTTTTATCTACTTCAACAGATCCCAAATACTACACCTTAATGTGCAGCCGAAGGCAGGGCAGTTAACGAGACTCTTGCTTCTTTTGGGGCTGCCCCTTGGTCACCTTTTGGTTGAATGACCTTAGCTGCTACACTCAGTTAGCTAACCTAACTCTGAAATGCTGATGCAGCCCTCCTCCCCACCACCACCTGGAGTTTGTAAATTCCCTAGACACGTACTCACAGGAACTAAGAAAGAGAAACCTTAGTTACTGTGTCCCCCATGAGAACTCAAGCATGCATGCATTTCTAGACAGGCAGGGAGCTAACTTGCAAAACTGTTGCTCTTTTCATCTCCAGGAGTGACAGTTAAGAATCTCCAGGCCTTCCAGGTCCTGCAGAATGTTTTCCACAGAGCCAGTGACTCTGTCCTCTGCACCAAAGTGCTTTTGACCATCAAGACCATGTGGGCCTGGAACCCTCGAAATTTTTTCCTGTTGGAGTGGACCCTGCAGCCCATCTCACAGTTTGTTGAGATCATTCCCCTGAAGCCAACCCCGGTGCAGGAGCAGTTTTTCCAGCTGTTGGAGACGCTGGTGTTCAAGCTTCTCTATGTTCCCCATGAGATCCTGGCTAAAGTGCAGGGTCTGATCAAGGAGAGCCCTGAGCTGTCCTGCACCCTTGTGGCCTTGCAGAGCATCCTCAAGATCACAGCCAGTGACGGGCTTTTCACAGACATCTTCCGGGACTCAGGACTGCTAGGTCTGCTGCTGGCCCAGCTCCGGAAACAGGCCAAGATCATGAGGAAGTCAGGTGGGCAAATGCGCCAACATCACTGCAAGCCAGGCTGGGTCTGCCAATCAGCCCACCCCTACATTGTAACAGAGAATATGAGCATGTGCATCACATTGTGTGATACAGAGAGGGGCTCTGGTGCTGGTAGCTTCACAAAGAACAGGCAGTCTCCAAGTCTCAGCCTGAGCTTAGAGGGACAGACACTACTTTATTCCTGAAATGACTCAGGGAATTCACAGTTACTCCTTGCTGGGCATACAGGTGAAAACCACCGGGAGGCTGATTCTTCAGTAAAGCAAATGGGGGGGGGGGAGCTGGAGCCTGGAGAAACCTAGGCTTTGGGGGCTCTTCTGGGGTCTGCTGCGTATGTCCTTGTGATCTCCCACTGAGAATGGGGTTCCAGAGCCCTGCTGGCTCTCCTCTGTTCTGCTGGGCCACACCTATGTTATCATGTTTCATGCATGTTCTCCTGGGGATACTTTCATGGGTCTTTGCAATCCTCACCTCTGTGATTTTTAAATAGGAACTAGCTACAAAGAGGTCTTTTTCTGTTCCTCTTGGTTTGCTCAAATCTGCCACTCCCTGCTGCCCTGGGGGTGGGACAGCAGGACACAGGAATCTAGCTGCTTACCTCCCTTGCCTTTCCCTTCTCATCTTCCGTTGCTGCACTTTCTGGACAGGCCTGGGGCTGCTCTTTGACTTTAGTCAAAATTGTTACCCTGTGTTCTGCTTCTTGGGAAGGAGGAAGCTAAGAGAGAGAGAGAGAGAGAGAGAGAGAGAGAGAGAGAGAGAGAGAGAGAGAGAGAGAGAGCAGGAATGTGGGAGCCAGTCAGTCTCTTTTGGAAGCATGGCTGAGGTATATGCTGGGTGATCTTACCCTGTTACTTCATCTCTATGATACTATTCTCTCTGTAAAATGACAACAGCTATGCCATGCCACAGGCCTCCCACGAATTACAGGAAAAGGGCCCACTCTTGTAGGTGGCATGTAAAAGATATCCAGAAAGTTCTGCACACTGCATCCCTATCATTTTAGCATTGTTCTGTAGGAGACTAACATAGGTATTTTACAAGGAGCCTAGGTACCTTCGGGAGTTCAGGAAGGAGCTGTGTCTTCCCCAGAATGTTTGCAAATAGGATCAGAACTTAAGTGTTTACATAATACCCTTGAATGTCCAGGCCTCTAGTGAGACCACGCCTGGGAAGTAGGTGGCCATATACTTCCTTCTCTTGACTGGTAGTTTTGGTTTGTTTTCTGTTACTGTAACAAAATGTCATAGACTGGGAAATGTATAAAGAAGTTTACTTGCAGTCTAGTGCCCTACCACTGAGTCTTCCCAAATAGAAGTTTATTCGGCTTATAGTTCCAGAGGTAGGGAAGCCCAGTGTCATGGAGCCAGCATATGGAGAGAGCCTTGCTGCTCTATTATAACTCACTAAAGAAGATCAGTTCTTTCAGCTTATGCCATCTTCATGATTCCATCCAATGCTACTTACTTCCTGAAGGATGCACCTCCAAATACCATTAGCGTGCAAGTTAAAGACTAAGTCCCCAGCACGGGCTTCAGGAGAAGCATCCCAACCTTAGCTAACTTCTTGTTTTCAATCCCCTCCTGCATGAGGTTATCAGCTCCCTTGCTTTCCTTGCTGTTTCTAAGGCAGTGCACACGCTCCTTCAGTGTCCCTGTAGCACCCTAGACAGACGAAGCCTTGCAGTAGCTTAACATCAGGTCTCCTCTTCCATCCAACCCCAGACTTATGACCATTCCCAGAGGTGTTTAGCTTTTTCTGGGAGCTAATGTTTCCAGTCTCACTTTGTATTTTTAACTGTGACCTATTGATTCTTGCACACGCTGTCTCTGGTAAATAAATTCTTCTTGTTCTCATTCATTTACTTATTTTTAATCCCCCAGGTAGGAGGTAAACTTCCAATTTGTTTTGGTAATTTCCCAGCAGTGGGAATCAGCAGTGGATGAAGCAACCCAGTTTGGGTCTCAAAGATGTAGTGGTCCATCGGTCTGTTCCAGACTCTCTGAGTTGCTTCTTAGCTCAGCTGATGAGATGGCAGCTGCTCCTTCTAGACATGTGACAGGCTGTAAGGGGAAGATCAGGCTGGCAGGGCTTGATTTGTCATGGAGGGCAGTCTTCTCAGAGAGTGGTTGCTTCAATAGGCCCATTAGCCTCACCTGGGAATGTGTTAGAAACAAGAATTACCTGGTCTCATCCAAGATCTCCTAACCCACCAGCTCCAAGGAAGGGGCTCAGCACAGTTCTTTGAATTTCCAGATTTCTGATGTGCTCAAGTTGGAGAACCACCAAGGCTGGGTTTTCAGGGTGGTATCTTCAGGGTTGGGATGCCTGCTCCCTTCTAATGGACTTACCGTACTAACATCTCTTCAGGAAGGTGGGACACCAACGAGGGAGAGACTGGGGATTGTACTGTGCAGACTTAGCACATGTTTATTTATCCTTAAATGTGGCAGGAAACAAAGAGCCCAGTCCTGGTGTGCAGGATCCAGAGAGGGAACTTACCTGCGTGATGCTGAACACAGTGGTCGCACTTCTGCAAGGCTCTGTTCGAAATACAGGTAATGATAGTACTAACCTTCTCCAGTCAGTCTTCAACAAAACATGAACCACGAGTTACCTTTGAGTGTTCAAAGGCGATATCAAGGGATAGTCAGTACCAACATGGTGGCTGACCTTCAAGTGCTGGTTGATACTTAATGACCATCTGTAAAATGCACATCCCGGTCAATACTTCTTACTATTTTATAATGAAGTTGGTAGGCAAAAAAAAAAAAAAATACAGCATAATGTAGTATTTTCTAAATTAATGCGACCACAAGACACCCTTTCTTCTCTTTAAAGTAAGAACTCTTGATAACCTGCTTTATTGAATAGAGATGATTTTAAAAAAATAAACCACAGAGTAAAACACTAAAACTATGCCTTTAATCCCGGCACTTGGGACTCAGAGGCAGGTGGATCTCTGTGAGTTCGAGCTGACCTTGTCTTGTTCCCTGTCTTGCTGGTGTCTCTCCATGTCTATATTCATCTCCATCTACCTTCTCTCTCCCTGGAAATCCTACCTATCCTCTCTTGCCTAGCTATTTGTCACTCAACTCTTTATTAAACCAATCAGAACCTTTGAAAAGACACATCTTCACACTCTACAAAAGTATTATTCCACAGTACCAAAGCTACGCAGAGAAACCCTTTCTCAAAAAACAAACTATCTATCTATATGTATGTATGTATGTATGTATGTATGTATGTATGTGTGAACATATGTGTGTGTGTGTTTCTCATAGTCAAGGATAAATTCAGCAATTCTATTTATCTGTTTTTGTTTTGTTTTAGCTTTCTAAGATCATGTGGCTGCCATGTTTTGTTAAAAAGGGTTCCTTTTTATATATCAGTATATATCATGAAGGAGCTGCACAGATCCCTGTCAACGGCACTGGAATCCTCACAGAGTGACTATTCTAAATATAAAAGCCTGTTATTTATTTCCTAGCATGGAAAAGCCTACGAAATGTTGCCTGGAAGTACTGGTTAGAATTTGCATTTCTAGGATGACTCTTGGGCATTTGGTTGGTAGTAGATGGAGGTCAATCTTGGGAATCTGTTTTTAAAGAGGGGCCCCCAGCATGATTTCAGCATAGATGCCATGATTTGAAAGTCCTGACTCAGGACCTGAAGGATCAAATCCTCATTAAGCTCTTTGGTCATCAAGAGTTGAGCCTTTACTCCATGAGAATGAATCTGCATGGCAGCCTGAGCAAGAACAGCCTGGGATTGTCTGTACACAAAAACAAACCACAAGTAGATTCCTTCCATTTTTTCCCCAAGGAAAGATCTAGGAAATTAAATATGTTAGGAACATAAATTCTGGTTTGCATTCTATGAAATTTTGATAGAAGACAAGGTCCCAACCCTAGACAAGAAGCTGCGTTTTCTACTGACAGCTATTGGGAAGGGGGAAAATCTGTTTTTAATGGAGTGACAGTGGGTATATCAGAACACCCCAGGCAGGCCCCAGGCTCAGGTGTAGTTGGCCAACAACACTCAACACAAATCAGACTCTATGTTTTTGTGGGCCTTTCTCCTTTCTTTCTTTCTTTCTTTCTTTCTTTCTTTCTTTCTTTCTTTCTTTCTTCCTTCCTTCCTTTCTTTCTTTCTTTCTTCCTTCCTTCCTTTCTTTCTTTCTTTCCTTCTTCCTTCCTTCCCTCCTTTCTTTCTTTCTCTCTTTCTCTCTCTCTTCCTTTCTTCCTTCCTTTCTCTCTCTCTCTCTCTCTCTCTCTCTCTTTCTCTCTCTCTTCCTTTCTTCCTTCCTTCCTTCCTTCCTCACTTTCTTTCTTCCTTTGAGGAAATATATGACATCAGGTAGGTAGATAGGTGAGTTGTAGAAGGGGGATGATATGATCACAATATGTTGTATGGAATTCTCAAATAATAAATGGAAACCCTGAGAGGATAGAGGGTAAAGAACTGGTGTAGGTCCTGGATTAGGGAATGAAGGTAAATGGATGGAGAGTGGACTCTGAGGGTTGTGTTACTTATGTTTTGAAAAAGATTTCAAAACCAAGGTCCTTGTTATTAACTTCAGTCACTATCTTGTAGAGTAAGTCTTTTGAACTTATCCCTCCTATCTTGAACTTCCTCCTTTGGGAAGATGTTGGCCAAATAAATGTCCCCGTTCCCAATAGATTTCATCCTAATTCTCAGCACCAAAATTTCTCTTTGCCATTAATCCATTGTGGGTGTGTATTATAAAACATGAAACTATTTACCAGGGGGCCAATGAGAGAATGGAGTGTAATGGACTTGGGAAGTTGAAAGAAAAAGCCTTCATTGTGATGCAATTGCAGTGCCAAGGTCCACCTTTCTCTAGCAGTCTTGCTTCTTGTTCCCAGTTGTCCTAAAAGATCATGGCATGGTGCCCTTCATCAAGATCTTCCTGGATGATGAGTGCTACCGAGGAGCCTCACTCAGCATCTTGGAGCAGCTCTCCATCATCAATGCTGAGGAGTATATGAGCATCATTGTGGGTGCTTTGTGTTCGTCCACCCAGGGGGAGCTGCAGCTAAAGCTGGATCTTCTCAAGGTGAGAGCAAGTCCTCCTCTGTAATTGTCTTTCTCAGGTCTGTGCACCAAGTCATTCACCTTTGTTTGTGCATTGCATTGGGTAGGCAGATAATTGTGCCAGGCAGTTAAGGCTGCTGTAATAAATAAATTCCATATACTCAGCTACCTTGAGCTCCTGTTTCTTCTGCTTCTACCTCCCAAGAGCTGGGATTCCAGGTAGGCACCCTCAGATCTGACCTTCGATTTGTTTTATGGAGAATCAATAAATACCTTGGGATTGCAATTCAAGGGCAACTGTCACTAGGGCTATTCAGGGACAGCTGTCACCAGGGCACTTAACTCAGCTGAAAGATGAGGGAAGACAGGCTAGAGGGAATGACATAAGGCATATTCATTCAGGCTAGAATTACCATACTCTAACTTCTTTTCAGTTTCGTTGGACAGACTTTTGAGCAGGACTCACTCAGCTGCAAGGGTTGATGGGAAATGTAGTCTCTGATTTGGCAGCAACATCGCAGCCCCGCTTTATATCATGAAAGTAGGGTGTGAATCAGTGGTGGACTGATACGTGTTGTGCTGACTCCATTATATGTACCAGTGACCAGGTCTGTCGAGAGTGCTTGGAATACATGTTAGAATTGAGACAGGGCCCTTGCTATCTGGGAGCTTAAGGACAGTGCTCATAATACATTAGTGCTGGTCGCACCTCAGGGAGAGTAGTGGGCTGTCTGGGTAAATACCTGGTGGGTGCTGGTGGCTGTGTGAAGAGATCGATAGGCAAGACCAATGCAGTTTCACCTGGTCTGGGGGCTCACAGGGGAGTGCGTGAACAGGGAAGGAAGCTCGAGAGACTCAAAGTTGTAGGGACAGGGACACAAATGGACACGTAAGTCTGGGTTATCACATGTGCACAGCAGAGAGAAGTATTTATTTTTGTAATATGGGCAAACATACTGAGATCCTGTGTTTCAAAAAACAAACAAACAACAACAAAAACTTTTATTTTTAAATTTTGTTTATCTATTTATTTTTGTCTTTTCAGTTGTGAGCCTGAGCCTTTAATGGCTGAGTTATCGACTGGTAATTGTTTTTGTTTGCTTGTTTTATTTTAGATTCTCTTTGATTTATGGTGTTTGAGTGAAGGGACATAAATACAAATACTCACTTGGATATTTAAGCAGAACTTGTCAACTCTGTGTATGACACAACACAAAAGAAACACATTCTTGTTTCCTGGACTTGTCATATTTGGTTACTGAGGAACTTTAAGAAACCTAACTGGCTTAGTTGAGGTTCTCTCTCTGCTATCTGTTTTAATGCAAGGAGTATGGTGTTTGGGTCTTTCCATCTATTTCTCTGCAGAGTCCAGGCATTGAGGGGAGTCATTCCTGCTATTAATGTCTAGACGACTTTGAAGTACTTAGTACTTAAGGCATCCCAAGAGGCTCAATGGAGAATGGCACCATGATCATAATTATGTGTTTCATGGAGGATAAGAACTCAAGTAATAACTTCATTACAGGGAAAAAAAGGAGTGAAAGAGATTACTAATAAACAACAAAAAGGGAAGACAAATGTCTTTTGAAAGACATATTAAACCATAATAATGTGAACTAAGACAAAGATTAAGGGGACTGGGGTGAGGCTCTGCAGTAGAGGGTTTGTCCAGCATGAGGGAGGCACTGGAATCCAATAGACAGCACCAGAGATGTCCATTGGAATTTAGTACTGAGAAAGGTTCGTTGAAATTCAGTGCTGAGAAAGACCTGAGACAGATATGGGCTAGTTCTGTTTGAAGCAACAACATCCAGAGGGCTTCAAAGACTATTGTCATTCAGATGGTAAGCCCAGCAACCCCTCCATATTGTCAAGCTTTTGTTGACTGATTTGTGTGTTCTGGGAAGATAGGATCACAACTGGGACTTTGGTTTTCCCTTAGGTGAAAAATTAATTCTGAAATGTTTGTAGTGAAAGCCAAACGGACTCATAGAGAAGAAAAGTCTGTTTTGACTGTGCTGGAACCAGGAAGGAGTTTTCATCCAATGCGGAGAAGAGTGCTCTGTCTTGCTCACAGGAGTTCATCTTGTTTATTCTGTAGCCTAGAGACATTTTATTGGAGTGTTAGCCCCTGGGTAATAGGACGGAACTTCTAGAATTAGCAATGCAAACCCATTATGGTGTTTTACAGATTCAATATAATTTCAGAATCACAGCATCAAGAGAGTTCATAAGGAATGAGCCCTCTGTGAGCTTATTTAACAAAGTCAGGGCCCAAGGCTCTCCTCCCACCTTCACACTCCAAGGCTCTGCTGGGTAGTTAGGAGGTCTCAGGAGCTGCCACCACCCTCAGGGGACTAGGATTGCTGCACACTGCTGGGCAGGGGTGGTAGAGAGCTGAGTCCCCCAGAGCTTAGCCCAGATTCTGAGTTCATGAGTATGTTCCCCAGAATCTGATGTGGGAATCTGTGATTGTTTTGAAATCATATGAGAACCCTTTGGAGCTTCAAAAACATCCATGTGAAATGAGCTCTCTCTGGCTGGACTGCCATTTCAGAATCTGAAGGCTGGCTGTGCCCAGGGGTTAGGCTTCCCTTCCCATAGAGGGTCAGATAGAGGAGGGACTCCCTGTGGAGTGTTGTTGGCAAGGAGGCTGGCAGTGTTCTTCCCAGTGAGGCTGCCATCTCTAGAGGGCAGTCACATCACACATATGGGGAAGGCCACCTCAGGGCAGATGCTTCCAGAAACCAGTGGCACTTCTGTACCAACACCAAAGCCGTGTGACTACACCACCAATTCTAGCAAAGGATAAAGGAGTTAAAGGATAATGTAAGCAAATGAATTTCCTCCCTGTGGCCAGAGGGACTGTGATTGGGTTATGCACAAATTCAGATTGATTTGCTAATATACATTTAGCTGTTCAACTTGGAGCTTAATCACATTACCTCACCAGTCTTCCAGCATGACACATGGAAAATTATGAGGAATAACAAATAATAGGATGTGAAATAAATCCTGTTAGTCCTAACACAGTTAGCGCCATGCAGCAGACATCCATTTTATAGATTCAGGCTAGAGGAATACTAACTCAGAGCCGATGACATGGTAACTGAGTTAAGAATGAGAAAATGCGCTTAAGGCTGACCTTTTTTGAAATGTGTCAACCCTACCCTGATTACTTTGACTTCTGTTGATTCAATTTATTCCTTTCCGCAGACTTGGAACCCAGTGTGATGCATTATCATGCAAAGTTGAATGACAGTAATGGAGACCCCTCCTCCTAGGCCCCCAGTTCCTGACAAATCATTTCCCGAAGTCCCGAAATATTTATTTTGCTTTATGATAGAAATGTTTCTCTTTAGTTGCTATGAAATTAAGCCTTTGTAATTGGATTTTGGACTCTTTACTTTATGACTCTGCAAATATGAAATTAACCCCATCCCAAGAAATAATAGAGCAGTCTACATTCTAATGAGATTACCCCATTTTAGATAATGACCCGGAATTTAATAAATCGAACAAAGCAACAATTAAGGGCAGCCATCTCTCCTCCCCCTCCCAGCCGGAAGAAAGAAAGTGGCCATCTAGGTGACACCCACTGAGAGACACAGATCATGGGTAAAGATTATTGTTGGGTTGATTTTCCTTTAAATATCTGTTGTCACCATTCTTGGGAGGATAGATGGAACTCCTCTTAGACATATTTGGCATAAGGTTGGATACTGGAATTTGCTTCCTATGGGGACCCAGGTTCAGTGCTCAGGCAATTAGCCACCATCTATTAAGTCTTTCTTTTAAATCATCCCTATCCCCTTTGCATTTGCTTTGGCCTGTGCCATGTGACAAACAAAAGAGTTTTCTTCATTCCTTTTGCTTGAAGCCCACCTGGCCATGATCCTGTAGACTGTTTTATGTCAGCATTTATAGGACTTTCTAATGTCTTGGTGACAGGCACAAGATAAAGAGATTTTTACAGACTGATTTTCATGCTTGGACGTGCTGTGTGGATTACCATTTAGGAGGAAGAGGCTTAAACTATTACCTACTTCACAGTTAGAGTGAGTTCCCTGTTTATCTGAAGAGATGCTTCTTAGATGGGGGTGCAAATCCGGGACTCCAGAGATAATGACAGGTATCTGTGACCCTGTCTATACAGACAAGGACTTTGCCCAGTGTGTACCATGAACTTCCATAATTACTGAGCATCATCCTTCTGGAGGAAGCTTGCTCTGACCACATATATGTTTGTCTTGAAGGACTGGTCTGGGTCTTTTGTTTTTGAGTACCCAGGTTTCCCTGTTTTTGACTTCCGCCTTTCAAGTTTGGGTTACCATCCTAAGCTGTATCATTAAGCCATGGTATTGGCTCTTAGCCCAAAGTGGGAGTCTCTTTCATTTTTGAACTTTGAACCATATCTCAAGCATCCCAGAGTTGATTCTGAAATGTGTTCCTTTCCATGATTCAGCGCAGCATTACTTTAAAAAAGAATAAAGTATCTCAAACCTCTCTCTTTAATGTACTTCACAAAGGCCATCACTATCCAAAAACATGCCAGAGATGATGTCTGGCCTTAGATGGGCTCCAGTGCTTGATATCTTAGAAGTTAATGCCCAGGTCTATAGTTTTAAGTATTTCTGTAAACTTGTCCATACCTACTTCATTTCCTCCCTTTTTCTATTTTCTTTTTTCCCCTTCCCTCCCTCCCTTTCTCCTTCCTTCCCTTTCTCTCTCTGTCTCCCTCCTCCCCCACCCCCATTCTCCTCATCTGTGTATGGAATATGTATTACACACCCTGTACTATGTGTGATGGTTTTCCTTGCCAGGTTTTCCTGTCGATGTCTCAGATGTCTCAGCCACCTGGAGGGTGGTAGATTCTGTGTGTACTCTGACCACTTGAGCTGCATTTCCCACATAGGGTATAGGTTGTCTGGTAGCCATGTATCTTGCTCCATGGAAGGTTTGTCCTCCCTTCTGGAAATCCTCATCTTTACAGCCTGCTGCTGGGTAGATTGCCTTTACACTGTCTCTCCTCATGTGGCAGAGCCC